ACCTTGGGATTCTCTAGTATGAAAAGAATATTGGACAAGTTGAGATCTGAGGATGGCGTAAAGAAAGGTGCGTCGTTGTTAGAAAAGGAACGCACTAGTGTGAATGATATGACAATGGTGGTGAAGATATCGTAGGCCTTGGAGAAATAGCCTGTAAAAAGCCGGGAAGACAGGGAGTGTAAAGAACTCCATGCCGGAGGTATCTTCACGGAAACGACGCTGAAATAAATCCACAGATTCTCGGTGGGGCCAGTATGCCAAGCAGACATGTTTTCCATGGGATCCTGCCAGCTCGAAGCTATCATACAGATTGTGGACATAGGCGCGATCAGGGCTAGATAGATTGGCGTCAGTTATATCCCACGCCATCCTGACGTCCTCATTTCTAGACGCGTCAACAGTCAGAACTTTGATGGCCACAAACGGGTACGTGTACGCATCCGGTCTGGAAGGAAACCCTCGATTAGCATTCATGTCGACAGACTAACTCTTCAACTCACTCGCCAATGTACTTGGCGAGCCATACGGTTCCGCTGCTCCCATAACCAAGTTTTCCAATAACGTGGTAGACCGTGTTCAAGACCTCGCCTAACGCGACTGGATAATAAATGCGTGGATCATAGTCTGGAAGGCTTTCTTCCTCAACGAGGATGTCGGGGCCTATGATGATTGGGTCTGGTACCGCCATGGAGCAGGCAAAGTGAGAGCAGTATTTCGATCAGGGAGGATGAGAGAAGATGGGAAAAAACGAGGTACGTTCTGTCGTCCTTTCGGTGTCCTTTTAACTGGCTCGCTGCGCCACATTCGGAGGAATGAGTAACAGTAGAACTCGGCTCTTTCCGGATGAGGTTCGGTCGACATATCGAGACAGTTGTTGAAATCTCACGCTCAACGCGATCGTTGCCAATGGCACTGCTCGCCACGACTTTGTGTGAACTTATGAAAGGTATCGTCGTCGGAATGTGTATGAATTCTTATCCACAGAGGTACATCTTCACGAGGCTATGTCCTGTCTTACTGCTTCCACTCACGGCTGGCCTTTTGTGTCCTTTGCGATTGGTTGAGTGTGGATGCAAAATGTACATCTTGGGGTCCCACCAGGGGAACTCGTAAAGAAGATAAATCCCGAGTACAGAGCGATGTTCTTTAATAGCAAAGGCGGGCCACAGAAGATTAAAAGCCCCCCATTTTTACTATCAGCTTGTTCCAGGACAATCCCTGCGTACAAATTACGATTGGGAGCGTTGGCGCGGTCCGGTTCCTCCGTGATCACGTGTTGCATTGCCGTAGATTCCCGCTTCGTAGCCACAGCCAAGACCATCAGTAGCCATTCCCGATTCCCTCTCTTGGACCTAGCAATATGGTTCCACGAGAATGAAGGGACATTTGAAGCCATGTTTTATATGATCCCGGATTCTTCATACAAACAGATGTTCATTGAATTTCTGAAGTGGATGCTCAGATGGCTTCCGGAGGAACGGGCGTCCATCGATGAGCTTCGCGGTGATCCATAGATGTCGGTCGCTAATTTTCCGAGGGGTCAGCGAAGGTAATGATGACAAAGATATGTTCTAGAATCGATGTCTGTCGTCCGTCGGTGAAAACACTTGTAATCAGTCAGTCCGCGTCGTGGATAAGTTATACCTTGCATCCCCCAGCATCGGTTGTGTGCCAGACCGACTAACCTCCAGGACAGTCTCCGTCGTCATATACTGCAGTCAAAAAACCGTAACAACCATTGTATTGTGTTTCCCAGAAGTTTTATCTAAGTACAAGCCCCTTCGAGTTTCAACCATCCTCACCCCGATGAAGTTACCGGGAGCGTGGTGCTCTGGGTGTGTCAGTGTTCATCTTTTCATGCCCACATCGCAGGTAGCCCTTTCATACATCTATTGCATTTCAGCCATGAATTACCCATGAATGTGATTTCAACTTCCGGCCAGAGGTTTAAAACCACGCGTGATCCAGAAAATGCATTACACGGTCATTCCGCCAAATATAGCTCAGCAAGCTAAAGCTGCAGATATATTGCGTATATCATACTCTACATAGTCTGAGATCATTCTTCTGAATCGATCCAGAGGCTCGTTCAAGATCGTGGAATCCATTGCGCAGATTCATCCTTGTAAGCTGAGAACTTTGATTCTTCATTGCAGATAGATCTACAGATATTATATCAGGATCAGTTGAGCGGCACGATCAATTCAGACGTACCTGTCCCGATACGTTTGAAGAGGAACGAGAGCCGTGAGTCAATACGTCGCGAACAAAGACAAGCTCAGGTGTCAGCCAGCTGAAAGGAGCTATCAGCGACAATTACGATCATAGTTAAAAATATTTTCGTACCACCAGTTTCCAGACACAGAGATATAATAACCGTTTCCGGGGGCAATAAAGCCTGTAAATTCGACACTCGGCCATGAGTATACGAGCCACACAGAGATATCAGTCACGAACCGCTCTTTGCTCTTACTCGATTTTCCTGTCCACGAGAACTCATGTGAGGTGGTGACAATCAAGATAGCGACCTAGATAGAAATTGCCAAGATGGACGTATCGGTCACCTGTACGTGTCGTGCTTTAGCCCTAAAAATATCCCTTCAGGCCATTTGAAATTACATTAACAGCGAGCTGCTCGACAAATTTATTTGCGATACATGCTGGAGTTCGCGATAATGGCCCAATAGCCAGAACGACTTACCCTGATACTACATTGGTTGTAGCGTTTATAAAATCTAGGTATCTTCGATTAGCGTGTATCTCCTCAGGGCGTAGGAGCCCAGAGAGAAGAGCGGGCTTCCAACAAAGTTACTAGGACCAGCGCGAGTTCAGAGTTGCTTAGCCCCCCCCCCAGCGAGAATCTTGGCTTGCTGGTACGAATTCTCCATCATCTTTACCTCATGTTCACGATGACCCAGCTTGCAGATCTTTGAGCGTCTGGCCTTGACATCTTCCATTACGGGTTTGGAAGTATATCTTGCACCGAATTCTGGTCGACTGTCCCGACTGAGATTACATGTTCCAAATTGTGTGGACGAAGTATACCATCGTTATGATAATCGGCATGGCAGTGGTGGCAATCAATGCGTTCAAGGAAAGATATTTCTCTTCATTTAATGATAATCGGGAGACATTGTTTGTAATATTCTGGACGACAAGACGGGAGTTGTGAGCCTGCACATGTCCCCTCGAAAATCAGGGACCAGAGAAGTGGAAGATGAAAGTTTTGAAATCAACTCCCGTGCCTACCGCTTGATAATCTCGGAGGGAGTCAACATGTATGCTAACCGTTTCGTGGACGGAGGTGCTGAAGGGAGGTAAGACCGTAGCACATTAGATGTCGGATGAACAAGTTTATCCGCGGTCTTCACGAAAAACTGTGGGTACCAGATGGGGTGGGGAAGATTGATTCAGGCTTGAGGGTGTCTACCGAAAGGAAATTAAAAAGATAGTCTAGGCATACCACCCCTTTCTCTACTCTCTGACCGGGAGTTGAACCCAGCATAATACATTGCAATGACAGATGTACTACTGAAAAGGTGAACTTCTGCTGAGGGATCAGATACATAGTGCAATTGAAGAATGATTGTGTTCAGTGATGTAAAGAAGGATTATTTTAATACGGCTGTTGTGGTTTACCAGAGGACAGAGCCTAGCAGAAGGAACATGGAGATGTACGTTTGCAACTTGAATATTCCCGCAACGCTAACAATATGGTTATAGCTTCGTTTTTTTGATTTAAGAAGTACAACCTGCATGCGCTAGCTATTTCCATGTGCCTGCTGGCAACAGACGAGCTGAGGAATCCTGACGCATTGAGCTCGCAGACATACACAGTAATAAAATGCAGCGACTGCCATGACAGGAACACGCTCTTTTCAATGGCACATCGGCTTCGAGTCCGCAAGCAAACTGACAGAAAAAAGAAGATATCCAAACAAGCAATGTCTCCCGAGGAGTCGAACCAGTGGGGATGGGTGAGTAGTACTCGATTCCACTCAGTCAAAGCCGTCCGTGACTTTGAAGCAGCACTTAGGGCTGGGAGTATAACAGAAGTCATGAGCGGTGACGCGGTTATGTCCGCTAATTTCCAATTCAATTTATACGTGAGCAGAGTGAACTGTAACTGTGAACATGAGAAGGATATGGATTTGTAAAAGGAAAGATGGACACCATACTAAACCCTGATGCTGGAGTCGAACCTAGCGGAGACATGCATGTATACTAACCAATACACCACACAGGGTGCTTGTCTGAGAGACGTGTTCAAAGGCTTTTTCAGTGAGGTATATGTGACCATTACACATCGGAGTTTCCCTTCAACCATGAGGACGACGCGTCTAAACCCGCACTCCCAATTTGAACATGCCCTGGTCCCGCTTTGACATCGCATAGACTTCCAAGATCTCAGTTGTTGTGGCTACGAACAGCAAGAAGGAAGTGTGCACTGGGCAAGTCGACCCAGCTAACCAGGAACCTATCAGCAGAGGTGAGCATCAAAAAGGATTCGTAATTTTGAATAAAACCTACACCATTTGGGCGGATATCTCTTCGCCTGGGATTCGAAACCAGTGGGTTTTGCATGGCCAGTACACTACGGGATGCATGAAAGAGGAGAAATCATCATGCTATATTGCGCAGGCAGCTGTATCATCATTTCCCAAAGCTTAGCAGTGGATTCTAGGCAGAAAAGATCATATGATGAGCTCTCCCATTCTTGTATACTACTGGTGGAGAATGACAAAAAATTTGGGAAAGTCTTAGGAGAAACCCTGTATGGACCTCGGTGTAGTGCATAAGGTGTTTCTATGGTGAAGAGAAATATATCTCAGACGGAATTTCCCGACAGGGCTGGGGGGAAGGGAATCAATGGGCGAGCTTTAGCGGCTCCTTGATCTCAGGCTCAGCTGTGATTCTAGCCACAGTTTCTTTTTTTCACTGTTCCTAAGCTGATCATTTCTTTCTACAAACCGGCCTCTGTCACCTTGCACTCAGGCCAAGTTTTGACATTATCGGGAAGGAGATTCCTCGGGCAGGTTCTGTGTCTTCAAGAACCCGGTTTACACTCTTCAGCTAGCTTTTGTAGCTGAATGTCTTATTGCTCTGTCTAATTATTCAAGGCAGCGCATTCTACGCCGAAAGATCACATGTGCGACCGGTTAAATACTCGACGCGCTGGCCCACTGACTGTCCGAGCCTGCACATGTCCCCTCGAAAACCAGGGACCAGAGAAGTGGAAGACGAAAGGTTTGAAATCAGCTCCAGGGCCTACCGCTTGGTGATCTCTGAGAGGGAATCAAGATGTACGCTGACAGTTTCGTCGACAGAGGTGCTGAAGGGGGTAAGACGAGGGATGGATATGACTCAGCAGATTGACCAATTGCAGAGTGCAATAAATTTCTTGAATGATGCCTAATATATTGGTATTTTGTCCCTCCTGTGGCACGGAATGTTTCAATATTGTTGGCAAGCCAGACAGTTCAAGTTCCGCTCACTCCATACCCAAGCTTTCCAATGACCTTGTAGATACCATTGAAGACTTCGCCTAGTCTGACTGGATAATAACAACGTACATCATATTATGGAAGGCGTTCTTCCTCAACGAGGATGTTGGGGTCTATGATAGTAGCATCTGTTTCCGCCATGGAGCAGGCAAATTAAGAGCAATACTTTGAGTAGAGGGGGTGA